GATTTTATTTTCTTTGAAATGCAGAATGACGCAGACAGAGATCTTCCACGCACTTAGTTCACTCCCCAGATGGCAGTAAGGTGCCCAGAACTCCTGTCTGGGTGTCCCTCCTGCGAGGCCAGAGTCCAAGCACTTGGGCCATTGTCCACTACTTTCCTGGGTGTGTTAACCGGACGCTGGATCAGAGCAGAGCGGATGTTGGATCTCAGCGACACAGATGGTAGCGTATCCCTCCACACCACAACGCCAAGCTGCGAGCCAATTTCCTAAGTGATAGATGCGTTAATTAATGCTTCCAGAGTGTGAGAATGCGTTCCCCTGAGGAGACATAGAAGGAGCATAGGGCCTAGTCACCCCTGAAGGGGATCCTCACTTCCCACATGCAGTCCCTGGGTCCAGTGCCCAGCCCCAGCTTTCTGCTGAAGCAGGTTCTGGCAGGCAGCAGCTACTGGAGTTGTTGGGTCCCTGGTACCCACATGGGAGACCCGGATGGAGTTCCTGGTTCCAAGATTCGGCCCACTCAGCATGCCTGTTACTGCTTTCTCTCTTCCTCCTCAAATTAACATGTGGCTGCAGGTGATCACGGGCTTCTTTGCTCCCATCCTGTCCTTGCTCTCCCACTCCTCACCCCTGAGCAGCAGCCTGAACCCCCGAGCATTCCGTCCTGTCATGCATGGATAAATGACATGTGACTTGGTGTGTCACCCCTCCCATCCATGACTCATATCCCATTTTAAAAGGGGCTTGAGTGAGAAGACAAAGTTTAACATATACGAGTTATTCTCCTAGTGGTAACACTGCAGGGAGCTCTTATTCCAGGCTCTCCTTGAACAACTCCTTAAGGGTGCCTGACTATTCATCTGGGCCTCATGCCTTAGGCACTGTGGTGCCTTAGGCACTTGCCGTCTGGGGTTCCCATGTCGTTCGGCTCAGCACACATGTCTGCTACAGGGAATAGCCAGCACCAGTCACAGCAGACTTGTCCAAGTGTGATGCTGTTCACCAACCCTTGTCCTCCTGCTTGCGGAAACACCTGCGCTCCCTTGGCCAGAACAGAGTTAGGGGTGATGGGGGTGGTTAGACAAAGTGGCAGCATGGACAGGCAGCAGGGAAAGGGACTGGAGTGTGTTAGGCAGCGGGCCTCCATGGCCAGGGGCACAGAAGTTCCCCAGAACACAAGAGAGAGAGACAGATTTGCTGCTAGAAGGGTAGAGGGAAGGGGAGGGATGTGTAGCATATTTCCTCTATTCTCTGCATACCATGCTGAGGGAACAATGACTTAGCTTGGGTGACAGGTGCCATTCACTGGAAAGGGGGCTATGGACAGGTTGCATTTGAAGCTCTTGAGGGAACTAGGTCAATCGCCAACCGAGTAGTTGGACAACAGGCCTGGAGCTCAGCATGTGGCCTGGAGGGTCACACCCAGGTGTCGGCAGCCACGCACAGCCAGGAAAGCTCACCTACAGGCAGGGCAGGAGCCCCGGTTCCAGACTGTACCCTCAGGATTCACCAGGAGAGGCTGAGATAGTGACAGACTGAGCGCTGCTCTCTGAAAGGAATATGTTCCGCTGGTCAAACGCCACCAAACAGAAAAAAAAAATCAATCACTCCAAAATCTTTCCCAGCGGCAGAGCCAGGCAGATAGCTTCTATCCACTGATGGCAGCTGACACCCACAGCAGCTGGGGCTGGGCCAAAGGACACTGGGAACTGGGACCCCAGTCCAGGTCTCCCTGCTGTTCACTGGCAGGACACTGGAGTCAGGTCCTGAACCCCAGTATTTGGAGGGGGACATAGGCATCGTAACTGCGGCCAGTGCCCACCACCCACTCCCCACGCCCTGGATGTGACAGTGTAGAAGTCACATGAGGCCAGTTCCAATCAGGCAGCAAGTCTGTGGGGAGGATGGTGAGGGCTGAATCCTGATCAAACATGCTGAGTGTGGAAGGATCTTTCCAGAAGGCTGTCTGGAGCAGAGGGAGAGAAGGGATAGAAGACAATTGGGCCCCTAGGGACATGGAGTGGTGTTTGTTGACCTGCTTGCTTCAGTGTGGTGACCACTGGAGACTGCTGAGATCTGGGATGAACCAGCGGATGCAAGATGGATCTATCTTTTCTTTCTCTCTCCCTCATTCTCTGTATCTCTACCTTTCAAATAAATAAAATATATCTCTAAAAAGGGAGGAAAGGCTGGGTACTTAAGTTGCTGGAGAAGGAGAGCAGAGATAAGAGTGGCCTGTGCGTAGCACCAGGTGAGGTGAGAGTGGTGTGGACAGAGGCTGGGGTGCACAGTTTGCAGGAAAGGTGAAGAATGTGGGGCCGGAGGGGTCCAAGACCACAGCAGCAACAGGGAGGGTGGTGGTCGCTCAGGACAATGCACGCGTGTCCAGGTGACACTCCTTGAGCAATCAGCCCCTGAACTGGCCCTGTCCCTACCTCCATCAGGCCCTGCCTGTGCCTGGAATCCCCTGACTTCTTAAGACTGATTTGAAAGGCAGAGTGAGACAGACAGACGCACACATACCTTTTCCTTATTTTCCTTTGTTGGTTCAATCTCCCAAATGACTACGACAGCCAGGGCAAGGACATTCTGAAGTCAGGAGCCTGGAGCTCCCTCTAGTACTCACGTCTCACATGGCTGGCAAGGAGCCAAGCATGTGTGCCATCTTCCACTGCCCTTCGCAGGTGCTTAGCAGGGAGCCAGACTGGAAATGGAGTAGCCGGGACTTGAACCATGCTCTGAGATGAGAAACCAGCACCAAACGCAGTGGCTCAACCACTGGGACCCCTGGTGTTTGGCAAATCTTACCAGCCTTTTAGTAACCCCAGGACATGCCTGTGGGCTATTCCTTGCTTACTGGGAGAGATGTCATTTCTGTCTTCCTCGGAATAGCTGGCCAACTTAGCTCCCAGCGCTCTGCAGACACAGTCAGCTCTCCCTAGGAGTCCCGGAGCTTCCTGCTCGCTTCCGTCTCTCCTGACCAGGGACTGGGCACCTGCTGGTAATCCTCATTTGATGTGCAGGAGTATATTTTTCAGAATTCATCTCGGTAGCAAGAATGCTACACAGCCTATCATCTCCTCTGCAGCCCCAGAGATCTCTTGGGATGGGCACCTGATACCCCTGCATGGTACTGTCTAGATGCCCATGGTGGTTCCCTAATCCACTCTTTCTCACTCTTGTACATGCATTTATCTCTTCTTGTTGAAATGGTAGCCTGTTTATTCACTTGGGAATGAGTTAAGGGGAGGGAAGCGGGGCTGTATTTACTGCTTGGCTGGACCCATAGCCCCAGGCTCTAAAAGGTTGGTGTGTCTTTGATGCCTGCCAACAATCCCCCCACTGTATCTACAGGAAGGTGACAATCAGAGGCACCCCATTAGTTCGCTGTGTCCCACCCAGCCCCTCCCCGGGGCACCAGCTCCTGGCTTCTCTTTGGCATGGCAGCGAGTGGACCTTCCCAGCATCCCAGAGCCCAACGCGCCCGGGAGAGTCACTAAGTTCTGTTCCTTCCCCACGGCGATGCTCTGTTGTCAACCAAAAACAGCATCACTCTAAATGTCATCGCCCTACACCCCATCTGGGCTCCCGAACACAAGCTGCCTTGTTTCCAAAGCAGAAGTCGTCACCACCAGGCGAGCCTCTGGAATCCCAGGGAGGCTGGTAATGGAGGGGGGCGGCTCAGTGGGGGACTCCTGCACCTCGCCCCCCTCCTTCCCCATCTCCCTGTGGTCACAGACAACCACTTCTATGGAGAGAGGACAGCGATGGCAGACTGCCACGACGATGTTTCCTCACTGCTTCCCTGATGCTTTGGGGGGACAAACTCTAACACAAACAGGCATATTTACAGCCTTGAACATTTTGCTATCTGTAGAAACACAAGACAGTGTGGCTGCTTTGTGAGACTCTCACAAGAAGGAGCACAAGCAGACAGAGAGGGTAAGCTGGGGCTCACAGTGCACACATGCCATCGGGAGACCCCAGCTCATGGCAGTGATAGGTTCATGACAGATTCCCCTGAGATGTGACCACCTTCTCGTGAGCCCCTCCCAGATATGAAGGAGGCCAGGAGGTGTTGAGCCCCTGGACCTGCTGCAAGGGAGGATGCAGTGGCTGCCAACAACCCAGCCCACTCCATGCAGGAGGGGGTCCCTATGTGTCCATCACCTGAATGCATTTGTGGGCTTAGCTCTCGCTGAGGCCAGTGAAGGGTCTTCCAGCACTCAGACCTGCCCGCTGTGCAGCTCCCACCCAGGGGCTGAGTGCTCCCTCTGCTCCTGCACACTGGGGCTGCTTAGGTGACAGCTTCTGCCCGCATCTTCCCAGAGGTGCTGCGCCAGTAGACCTGCTCACCCTGCCACCAATAGGAAGCTTCCCATCCATTCATATTCAACATTGACAAACACAGAACAATATTTGCACATGACAGAGGTGTGTATGTGCTTTGTCTTCCTTGCAAGAAGCGAGGAGGAACTGGTGTCTGCTCCAGGTGCTGCTGTACCTGCCTCACTTTTAGACAGTCAATCCCAGGAGGCGGGCCCTGCTGCCACTGTGTGAGGGATTCACTGAGGCCCCGAGGTTGGATGGCTTGCCCGAGATCACACAGAGGGTGGCACAGTCACCCTGAGCCTAAGACCTGGGCTCTTCCCCTTGCCTTTCCCTGCGCCCCAAGTTCCAGCACATATCTACACACCTTCCTGCCAGACCAGTTTCTGGTAAGACACAGCCAGGGAAGCTGAACACAGAGTCCTTATAAATACAGATATGGGTATAGGCATTTCCGGAAAAGATGTCACAGGAGCACGGCTGCATTTTTCATTGGTACCTTGTGAGTGCAATCTGGCACAATCTCATCATTGAATAGCAACTCATGCATTTGGGATGGGGGTGGGACTCTTTCTGGATCATATTCAGGAGACACTTCATCCATGTGGTCCAAATGAAACTGGAGGCTCTCCAGGTTGGGCTGTGGCTGTCCCCACCACAACCTGGAAGACCTAGACCACGGTTTCAACGGACACAGTGTTGCCGCTGTCTTCCGGCGCCGGGGCTGCGTTTCATCTTTGAAAGCCCTGGTCAGCACCACTTTCAAGGACTCCTTGAACCGCTTCTTCTTACTGCTGCCTACGAAGAAGTAGATGAAGGGGTTGGCACTGCTGTTGATGGTGGAGAAGAGGAGAGAAATGTTGTGCAGGTTGCCGAACGTCGACCAGTCCTCATAGTAGAGCAAATAGAGTAACCTCATGGGCATGGCGAAGATGAGGAAGATGACGATGGTGACTGTGATGACGAGGTACAGCTTCGAGGAATGGGCAGTCCACGTGTTCTTGCGGATCTTCACCACCAGGACGGCACTGGACACCAGCATGAGTGGGGTGAACACCAGGAAGCTAAGGATGGCAATGAAGATGATGACGGCGCGGCAGTCGCCCCGTGAGCGACTCTCCTCAGCAGCATCAATGCACATGACATACTCCATGGTGGTGACCAAGCAGGACAGAGCCCAGAGCAGGGCGCAGACACACGCCGACTGGTGTTTGGGCCGATGGCATCGGTACCAGATGGGGTACAGGACCGACAGGCAGCGCTCCACGCTGATAGCCGTCAGCAGGTAGAGGCCCGTGTTGTAGCCAAACAGGAAGGTCACGGACAGTGTGACCATGGTGTAATAGTGCCCGGAGGAGAGCTCGTAGTCCAGGGCGTAGTCGGTGGACAGGATGAAGATGCAGAAAAGCAGGGAGATGTCCGCGACGGACAGGTGGGTGATGTACACAGCGAAGGGGTTCCTGCGCATCCGGAAGCACAGGAACCAGAGGAGGATTCCGTTCTGCACAAACCCCAGCGGGGAGACGCTCATGATGACCCAGTGCACCACGGGGATGTGCGGCCGGGGATCCCCGGCGGAGGCATTCCCTCCGGCGGAGGCATTCAGGGACCGCTCGGCCTCCGCCACGGCGGCCGCTGGCGCGCTCAGGTTAGTCTCATCCATGAGGACTCCTGAGGCAGGCAGCGGAGGGGGGCACTCTTCAAGTCACGTTCTGTGAAGAAGTTGACAAAATAGTGAAAAGCGTGAATTGGAATACAAGTGAGGTTCGGCTATAGATTGTAATCTTTGTATGTTTCTAAGAAAAAATAAATAAATAAAAGCCAAAAAGCTCAACTGACTCTATGGGGTGAAGTTGGTGCCCTTTGGCCACATCTCATAGTGCCTAGGTTGTGAGCCCCAGCCACACTTCCGACGTCAGCCTACTGTTATCACAGTCCACAGAAGGCAGCAGGACTTCAGGCGGCTGGAGGACTGGGACCCCTGTCACCCACGTGGAAGCCCCGGGTTGAGTACTGAGCTTTTGCCTGCAGCAGGCATTTTAGATGGGAACCAGTGGATACAAGAACTCAGCCTGTCTCCATGCCTTTCAGATAAACAAATAAAACATTTTAAAAATAGACCATGCGCGTCCTTCTAACAATGATAAAATTAGCTATTTCATCAAGAGAGAAGGAATTGAATGACATTTGGCTCCCAGAAGTCTTTCGTTCTGTGTTTTGCCCCTCTGGGCTCAGCAGACAGGAGGCACAGGATCCTGGGGTCAGTGTCAGGTCTGCCCTTAGTCTCCCCAGTGATGTTTGGGAAATCTCCATGACAAAGGACATGTCTGGGCCATGTGGCTATTGTCATTTTCTAATACGTAACATGACAAGTGGCGTGGTGACAGAAGCGAGCGCCTGTGAGAATCTTGTCTGAACACACCAGGTTTTATACAATGTCAGCAAAGGACAGGAACTTATTTTACAGTCTCAGAAAGCTGTGCACCTGCTAAGATTGACTAAGTACCCCTCATCACACAGCAGCGCTCGGTGTGACAGTTGGGGAGCCCCCACCCCGAGACCTACTGACCTCCCCGCACACTGTGGGCCAACCTCGATGGGGAGCACTGCTGACCGATGTTCCACAGCACTGAGTCACACACCAAGGAAACTGCTAAATACTAGAAGCTGCACAGCAAGGCTTCTCAGAAGCTTCCCACCACACTTCACTAATGGCAAAAATAGCGCATCTGAAGAGGCACAAAAGTTTCTTACTTAGGCCCAGCTTGTGATCGCTCCTGAAAAGGTCCAGAGTGTTTTGTAGCTCCTTATGAATGTCTTGGTCATATTCTAGATCGTACTACTGTATGTTCACAAAAGTTCTCTATTCATAAAAACCGTCTTTTAACCCTTAATGATTTTTAAAAATTGCTAGGTGACATTAATTGGTTACGACCTTCTCTAGGCATCGCAGCCCACGGCTGTCTCACCTTTCAATACTCGAAGATCAGGCCCTCGATAGCCCCCAGATGCTGACTAAAGAAGCAGAACAGGAGATGCAATTTTTTGAAAGAAACGTCAAGGTTCATTTCTCACTTGCCTTGTTCCTGAGAAACCTCTTTTGTTTTTGTTTTTTTCTACCCCCCATTTCCCTACTGAGCCCCTAGAGTGAAGTTATTTGCATCATAAACAAACCAAAACTCTATTCTTATATTGATGTGATGCCTCCCTCATTATCCAGGGACGTCTGAGAGCCTTCTACAACTTCAACAAACCTTAACTTTTTCTACTTCATTACAATAGCCCTGGCTGATTATTATGGAGAAATAGAAAACCATTACCCAGCCGGTAAGATTTGGAATTTTTTACAGCGAATTCCTTTCCTCCTCTATTATTCGTGCTGAACCCATTCCTGGTGCTGATGCATATTATATTGATGGCTCTTCCTCAGACTGGGGAGGAATTCATGGACCTCATTTACATACTACAATACAAACTCCCTTTTCCTCAGCACAACAGGTGGAATTAGCAACCTTGGTGCATCTCTTTCTTACAAGTACATAAACAACCTCTTGATGTTGCTTCCGATTTGGCTTTTGTACTTGGTCTATTTCCGGCTATTGTAATTGCTTTAATATCTTCTAATAATACTCCTATTTCTCATTTAGTTTTACAATTGTAACAACCGTTACGCCAGCGCAACTCACCATTCTTTTTTTTTTTTAAAAGATTTATTTTTATTATTTTTTTTATTGCAAAGGTGGATATACAGAGAGGAGAGACAGAGAGGAAGATCTTCCGTCTGATGATTCACTCCCCAAGTGAGCGCAATGGCCGATACTATGCCGATCCGAAGCCAGGAGCCTCTTCCGGGTCTCCCACGCGCGGGTGCAGGGTCCCACAGCTTTGGGCCGACCTCAACTGCTTTCCCAGGCCACAGGCAGGGAGCTGGATGGGAAGCGGGGCTGCCGGGATAGAACCAGCACCCATATGGGATCCCGGGCGCGCAAGGCGAGGACCTTAACCACTGCTCCACCGCACCGGGCCCAACTCACCATTCTTTATTACACATATACGGGCTCATTCTTCTCTCCCTGGACCTATGACTTGGCAATTCTCATGCTCATAGACTGACCGCACCTATATTTCTTAGTGCCCAAGATGAACACCGAGTTCCACATACTAATGCCAATCGTTCACATGTGAAATCCCGTATTCCACTCCGAACTGTTACATTTTAGCAACCTGCCCTATTTGTGCCCCTTGGTGCTGTACTCCTCACCCTGCAGCTGCAAATCCTCGAGGGCTGAGCTCCAATCAGTTATGGCAAATGGACGTTACTCATATACCATTCTTTCCAAAACAGCCATTCTTACATGTAGTTGTAGACACTTTTTCTAAATTTCTTTGGATACAACCTATGAGTTCTGAATCCACTTCAGCTGTTAAATCCTTCTTGCTCACGTGCTTCTCAATCATGGGAATTCTCTCTTCTATCAAAACAGGCAATTGACTTGCATACACTAGTAAAAGTTTCAAAGCATTTTGTTTAGAGTGGTCCATCCAACATGTTACAGGTATTCCCTGCAATCCTCAAGGTCAAGCTTTTATCGATCAAACGTGCACACCACACCCTAAAAAGTCAATTATTAAAAAACAAAAAAAGGGGGGTTGTCACCCAGAGATACCCTGTCTCTAACACTTTAAACACTTAATTTTTAAAATTTGCCTCAAGGAGACATTAATACTCCTGTTGACAAACATTTTTCTACATTCTCTGATAAGACTTTACAAATCCCTGCATGGGTAAAACAACGGAATAATTGGTATTCGGGAACAATAATAACCTGTGGTAAAGGTTATGCTCTTGCTGCTTTAGAATCTGCTGCTGGATTCTCTGAAAAGCTGTGGGTTCCCTTACGGCTCATCCGGCCTGGGAAATGCAGCAATGCCTTTAAACACAACGCTGCCCCTGGAGAAGATGGAACCCAGTGGAGCTGCCTCTAAGAACTGAAAACTAAAATTGTTTAATATCCCTCTTGTTCCACTACAGGTCAGGAGTGCAGAGAAGTTCTCCAACTTCTTAGAATGTTTGAGGAAGACTTTAAGTGTAACTTATTATTTATAGATAGCAGATTCTTAACTGCCTCAGACATTACAAAAACCGTAGAAATTTGCGGTGGGATCCAAGGGTGACCCTGACACCCTCTTAAAGGAGGTTGTGCGTTACAGAGCAGGAGGGGATCTCAGGGCGGAGCAGGAGGACATGAAGACTCTGCATCCTAGTCCCGGAGACCCCCAGAGGCCTCCCATGTGCTTTTGCTGCAGAAGCCATGGATACTTCGTGGAGGATTGTCAGTATGGACACCGAGAACCCTATCCCAACTGTCAAGGAGATCGCAGGGAAGGTGAGTGCCCTCGAAGGCCGAGAACTCTGAGATCAGTCATTTCCTATTGGATTTCCCACACGGGATTGACGCAGCCCAGTACCCTGGGGTCTGGTGCTCCTGACAGTGAGGTCGAACTAGAGCCAGGAGCCCCGGGTGGCAGTCAGAGACAAAAGGATTGTAAATTTCCTTTTGGATTCAGAGGAGGAGCTTTCTCTAGTCCTTACCTAGTTCTAGCCTTGGCTCCCAGCCCTCTCTTACACGGACCATCGGACCATCGGGGTTGCTTGGGAGCCCCCAAATTAGTTCAGATAGACAGAGTCAGACTAAGGTCAGCTAGTTGATAACCATTCAGCCTGTACCTTACTGATCAGGCTTCCTATTTGGCTTTTCAAATAGACAGAGAGACACGGATATAAAAAGTTCAGAACAGCCAGAATAAAGGCCAATTAACCTGTAATGGCTCAGCCTGTACTTACTGGTCAGGCTCTCTATTTGCTTTTCCTAGACTTTACTAGATAGGCTGTAGAGTTAAATTCTTCCTCACTCACTAAGTTGTTGGAGATTTCCCTGCTCACCTGCCTAAGACTTTTCTATTCTTCAATTCTCAAAATATGACTTGTTAGAATTATAAAACTGTTTTGAGTATCCTAAAACACACGAAGTTCGGTAAAATCGTACTTGAATACTATAAACTGCAAAGTTTAAAAGGTGAGTGTGCAAAAACTTTTATCAACTGTTAATGTTAAGCAAGATGTAACTGCATAGAAACTTTGATGTTAAGTTCATGCTCGGTTTATATATGATGACGTTAATGTTGATCCTTTTGGGCCCAGCGTGATGGCGCAGTGGTTAAGGTCCTCGCCTTGCACACCCAGGATCCTTTATGGGTGCTGGTTCTAATCCCGGCGGACCCGCTTCCCATCCAGCTCCCTGCCTGTGGCCCAGGAAAGCAGTTGAGGTCGGCCCAAAGCTTTGGACCCTGCACCCGCGTGGGAGACCCGGAAGAGGCTCCTGGCTTCGGATCGGCATAGTATCGGCCGTTGCGCTCATTTGGGGAGTGAATCATCGGACGGAAGATCTTCCTCTTTGTCTCTCCTCTCTGTATATCTGCCTTTCCAATAAAAATAAATAAGTAAATAAATAAATAAATCTTTTTTTTTAAAATGTTGATCCTTTCACTGCTCCTATGCCACTCTGATTTAGGTTAAACACAAAAACATGTTACCTTGGGAGAAATTATAGCTGTTATTTTTCTACTTTCTACCAGGGACCCCAAGATACATTCCCTGGAGAA